AGATAAAAAGCTAAGCTCTTTCTAATGCACCTGATTGATGGACAGGCACAGATCCAATGAAGCGTTGCCCTTCAATTAAGCCTCTGTGGTCACCTGGCAACAGTGTTAACGAAGTGTACCCTTCAATTAAGTCTCACCGGTTACTCAGCAGAAGCCTGAGCCAATGAGGCGTGAGCAAAGGTTGCTGCTAAGTCGTTAACGCTCCCTTCAAGGCCCCCGAGTGCAGCACTGGCTTTAATCACTCAGTCGCCATTTAGCGCTGTTGCACAGATGTGTGTGCGTGTGTGTGTTTTTATTATCACGCGTGCTCACGGCTCATTGGAGGTGCTCGTAACATCCAAGGCATTGATGTTACGAGAGGCTTGTTTATGAGGTGTTCATGGTAACTCCCCCAAACAATACAGGTGCAGGGCTTCGGCTTTTATTACAAGTCATCCTTGGAAATGCTTTATTGCTTCTGGAGGCTGAGCTTTAAGCCTTTCTGGGGATCCCTGTTGTGCTTGAAGAAAGGGCCGTGTTAAAGGATGGATTCCTCTGTAGTGGAGATGCATCTGCTTCATAATGATATCTATTAAAAGAGGGGGAGGCAGTGCAGGAAAAGTGGATTAAAAAGAGGAGAGGATGGGGTCTGAGTGAGGAGGAGTGAGAGGAAGAGGGAGGCAGAGCGGCGAGGATAATGACAGGAGACGAGAACGAGTGGGACAGAGAGAAAGAGTGAGTCCAGGCAGCTCATCGGTGGCCTCACAAGAGAGTGGGCTGCCGCCTGGAAGTGATAATTAGTGCATCCTCAGAGGCTGCAAGGCTGCACAGGGCCACTCTTCTGCCCCCAGTTTAGCTGCACTACAGAGGATAAACTGCACCAGTGAGGCTTTATTATCTTTGTCTTTGGTCTGGGTTGTTTTCCCCAGAGCATCATAACTTTGGAAATGATGAGAGCTTTCAGACTGTCATCAGGAGCTCAACCCTTCACTGAGATGGAGAAATATTTTTCAGACAGCTCTCTCTTCATTTCCAGATCTTGTATTTTTGTGACATCACAGATGCACTTGTCTCCTGCTTTTCCTTATTTTCTGTCATATTTACTGTGTTTCAACGTTGGATGTTCATATTCAACATGGACACCCTTTGAAATAATGTGATCAGTGTACGTACAAGTGATGCCCATGAGCCATGAGCTCAGGATCCAGACCACAGACAAGCAGCCTTCAGACGAGCCTCTGTTCTCTTTTTGCTCAGCAGTGGTTTTCTCTTTGGACTCCATTTTTGCCCGGTCTCTTTCTTATGGTTGAATCATGACCTCTGACCTTTACCAATGCAAGTGAGGCCTGCAGGTCTGTAGATTTTGTTCTGTGTTCATCCTGGTGGATGAGTCATCGATGCACTTTTGGAGGAATTTTGGACAACATTGAAAAGTTATTATTTTGAACCGTGAACGATTTTCTAGTGGCGTCCGAGATAAAAAGCATTAAGGTGGAAATGAGTAGAAAATGTTCACTTTAATCATCATGTTGTCATCATTTATGTTCTTGCTTCCCTGCTGTCACGACTTTATCGGCAACCATTAATAGCTCAAATGAGCTTTGGCTCATTACTCTTGTAATACAGGAAATAGAGGAAAAGTTTCCACCACACACAAATCAAACTTTAGCTCCCTGGATGAAAGTTAAACCACTGCAGCAAGCCTAGATAGGCTTACTTTTTTGACTGTGAGGCTCTTTTTAAGGAGAAAATGCACATTTCTCTCAGAACCTTACTGAGGATGCAGTTTAGTTCTATATTGTCATTTTCAAGAGACAGGTCTGAAAGTGAAGCAGTTCAGTTATTCTGCAGTAACTGCTGCAATAAAACAGGTATTACAAACGTGACAAAGTCAAATCCCAGTGAAACCCCAAGTCCCGTCAAGCCCCAAAGTCCCAAATCCTAAAGAAGGTTTGAAGCTAGGTGTCAAATCTTAAATCAGGTCAAAGCTTCAGCAAATAGCAGCTGAGACGTAGTCAGGTAACCTCAGATCAGGTAGAACAAGTCCAAGCCAAACCTTGTCAGGGCTGGTAGCTTGTAGCTAGTAGCTAATGCAAAGTGACATCATAAACTAACTAAATAAAAACTTTTCCTACCTCTTTATATGTGAGCGAAGCCTTGAGATTGTCAGAGTCTTCCTCCCCTCACCCCGGCAGATGCCCCTCCCCCATCCCAGAGTCTGATTCTTCCCGTTAAAAGGAGTTTTTTCTTCCCACTGCCGCCAAATACTTGCTCACAGCAGGTTGTCCGATTGTTGGAGTTTTCTCTGTATTATTGTTCAGTCTTTACTTTACAATACGAAGCTTCGAGAGGTGACTGCTGTTGTTGGACTCAAATGAGTTTGCACAGATTAACGTTAAATCAGAAACTTCTCTGCGTTTAGTCAAATAAAACAAAACTCATATTAAGGTTTCCACATATCTGTAGCCTTATGGTGACTCAGGTACAAGCCTAAACTAGCCTAACCCCAGGTGACAGTCACTGTGCAAATATATGAGTGATGCATGAACATTGCCGCGGTATTTGTTACCGACAAATTCATAAAAAATAACTTTAAAGCTATTTGAACCCATCTGAAAATGTGCACTTTATTCTGCACCATGATGGAAAGCATTCTTGCTTTTCATAATGAGATTACTGTAAAGCCATTATACAGAGTGCTTTGCATACAGTATCGTTCATTTCCCTTGCTTAAAAAAATGGCAGCATGAAATATGAAATGTTTGTGCGTATTTGTGTGCATGCAAATGATGGCCTTTATGTGACAGTGGGAGCGTAAACAGCCGCATTACCGGGACTGATGTTAGCAGTGCTCAGAGAGTGCCGCTCATACATGTTTCATGATGTCAAACTCCAAGTTCAGCAGAGACACTGCTGCAGGAAAATGCACGGGCCAATGCAACATTTAGTAGGTGCAGGCACAAACTCGGTAAAGACATGAGTTGAATGAGACTTCAGTCTTTTGAGATTTGGAGTAGTTTCAGTTTGCAGTACTTTTCCTCTCCACCTACACTCATAAACATACAACCTCAATTGTGTTTGTCATGATTGGGTATAAAAGGAGCATCCCCAGAAGGCTCAGCTGTTCACAGGCAAGGACGGGGCGAGGTTCACCACTTTGTGAACAACTGCGTGTGCAAATAGTCCAGCAGTTTAAGAACAACGTTTCTTAATGCACAATTGCAAGGAATCTTGGGATTTTTCTACTGTCCATAAAAAGATTCAGAGCTCTGCACGTAAGCGACAAGGCCGAATAAGAACACTGGATGCCCATGACCCTCGATCCCTCATTTGGCACTGCATTAAAAACCAACATCATTCTGTAAAGCTATTACTATGCGGGCTCAGTTAACACAGTTCATCGCTACGTCTACAAGTGCAAGTTAAAACTCTACCATGCGAAGCGAAAGCCATATATCAACAACACCCAGAAATGCTGCTGGCTTCTCTGGGCCTGAGCTCAGCTGACACAGACTGACGTAAAGTGGAAAAGTGTGCTGTGGCCTGACGAGTCCACAAATCTTATGGCAAAGAGGAAAAGGACCATCCGCACCATGCCCCTGTCCCAGCAGTGTTGCAGGCATCAAATTCAAAATGAGTGAAAATTTGCAAAACAACAATAAATCTGATCAGTTTGAACATTAGCCATATTGTCTTTGTAGTGTATTCAATTGAATATAGGTTGAAAAGGATTTGCAAATCATTGTATTCTGTTTTTATTCATGTTTCGCACGACGTCCCAACATTGGAATCTGGGTTGTACATCCTCAGAACAGCGTGCTGAATCCACTGTAGTAACAGTTTTCCATTCTTCTGAAAAGAAGACTTTATATCACAGTTCCTTATTCATGGTGTTTACACACAGATTAAGAATAAAAGAACAATTTTTATTTAGACCTTTATGAATCAAATAATGTTAGCTCAACAGTGTTTAGTGATCAATATCCATCACAAAAAAAAAGCAAAAAAAATCACACAGAACAAGTTTAGCCATGAATATTTTTTTAATTTTTGGTAATTATAAATATCTGCTTTAAATACACTAACAAAATAGCTTGGACATTTTTCATGACTCGATATAGTAACAGCTTCCCAAAAATTGAGATACTTTGAAAATTTCAGGATCTACAAACCTGAGTCACAACGAAAACAAAAGATCAACAGAAGGTTTGGTAACCGATGCTACACAGTAGCTGATAGAAGATGAGCAGCTTCAGTCCTCCACGAGTTACCAGCGCCGCGAAACGCGTTACTGACACGTCAGCAAGCTCCGGCTGAAAACAAAAGATCTGAATACACAACAGCCAGATTAACAATTCGACTTCATCGTCTTTAGACAGCGTTGAATGATTGGGAGATTGACTGCAATGCACTTATATTTGATTAAAAGCTTCACAACAGTGTAAATTTCAGAGATCTGTAAACGCTGCACATGATTCAGCAGAAGTAAACACACATATCCAATCAGCAAAGGTTCATGTACTCTAATGTAAAGAAAATAGAAAATACCCTCACATGTATGGAGTTACATTTGTGCCACAAGTCAGTGCAGACCTGATTTTTGCCATGTGACAATCAATCTACTTCTTCCTATGCTTAGAGTTGAAGCACAAATGACTCTCTGTAAGTCAGAGCAGCATCTGCTGTGCTGATTAACTACGCGTATGTGGGTGCCAGTTTCCTCCTAAGGGTGAGGGAAGGATACTCTTCTTTGTTGGTACAAGTTGTTGCAAGCATCGTTTAGCTGTACACACAATAGGTGTCGAGAGAAAGCCACCTGCTCCCGGTTCCCTTTGTTCTTATTAATATTACATGTTGTATACCTATGATGCAAAGCTTTCAGGGAATTACATCTTTAAAGAACAAAACAGAACAACATTAAGCGCGCGCACACACACACACACACACACACACACACACACACACACACACACACACACACACCCACACACACACACACACACACCCAACACACACACACAAAACACACAATACACACACACACACACACACCAGTGTTTGTATTGATTTTGCTTCCTGTTGGAGAATTTTCAAGGGAAAAAAGTTCCCCCTTCAGAAACTTGTCCACTATCTAGATTCCCATCTGTTCAGTTACTTTTTGTGATTCTGCATTAATTCTGCACATAACTCGTTTGTGATGAGTACACATCTTTCAGGATACCTTTGAAAAGCCCACACAGACGTGCAGAAAGACCTCACTGCAGCGAGTAGGTGGTGGAGGATGGATTGTCGTGCTTGCTCCCATTTTAGTGAATTGCTAATTCTTTCAAAGAGACACCGAGGTCTTCCTCTCGGGTGTCGCTAATCCCCTAAACATCTGATCACGTCAGAAAGTTGCAGCTGCAGTTTGTAGCAATGCTATGGATGCGGTCTCCTTCCTTACAGATGTTGATGCTGTGTAATTTTGTTTTGTTTCCTTCCTTCACCTGGATGCTGAGGTCATGTGAGCCATCGTGGAGGGTTTGGGTTGGGCCACTTTCAGTCCACTTTAAAGCTGCATTGAATCATCTGAAAAACTGTTTTCCTTGATGAGATCAGTTTAAAATTCAACGCTGGTTGTGGAAACGGGGAACTTTTAACACCTGTTTAAGGAAGGTGTAGGTTGTGTTGCTAATCTGTCTTTAAAGCACTTTTTGGTGGTTTAATGACCTGTTTGTTTTGAATCATAGTGAATGGCTCTCGGTCTTCTGGCATTAGTTGTTTCAATGTTCAGGACAAACCTTCTGTAAACCAGCTTTGAGCTTTTAGGCTACGTGAAACTTTGACAGCAAACAATAAAGGTGATTATCCACACTGACTGTGGGGAAGATTCCTAAAAACTACAGTCGCTCCTGTCTAAAAAACAGCCATTTAAGTGTAACCTATGATATTTTACATGTTGCTTTCATTTAAGATACTGTATATCCAGCCTACAAGTGTCAGTCTGGTCCATATTTCCCAGCCTCGGCCAACAGCATTCAAAGTTGAGAAAAACAGAGCTGTGGTGAGAAGTTTGCATCCACTCATCACAGCCATGGATGTCAGGCTAATTTGGGGTGGGATGTTTTTTTACAGTGGGGTGGCTGTGTGGTAAACTTCTTTGATGCAAAGCATGAAATGGGTGCACACGTTTGAATTTATTTTGGATTCCTAACCAGCTGCCTCTGACATGAGAGAGACAGTTTCGTCTTCTTTCAGACGTCTGCAAAGTGGTGACACATCTGAATAATTTATACAATTGTTTGAACTGATGATCTTGAAATCTACAGATGTTTAGAGATGGCTCCAAGAGACTCTCCCAAGTTATGTAAATCTGCATTTTCACTAATTCTTCACTGAGTTCCCTGGACCGTCCCATTGCTCCGAGTATGGGCGGGCCAATGAGCGCAGTCCTTTGTAATGATGCAAAGAAACTACAAGTTTTATTCAATCATGATCACCAAGTTAATGGGCCTTAGCCTGTACGTATACTTCTGACCATGTGTCGATTATGGAAAATCCAAAATAAGTTTAAACTTGTGCACGCAGTTCTTTTCTTTTAAGTCATTGAAATGCAGCGATTCACCCTGAAAAAAGAACAGCTGAAAGAAATTAGCCTGAAATTCAGACCTGTGACGACTGGATGAAAACAACCACAGCTGGATTTGTAAATTCATAAAACTCCAAATATCTGTATTTTACTGTGATCTTTTCATACTTTTTGCTGTGTATTCTGAATGAACAACCATCCAAGGTTAAATTTTCATTCACGTGGCACTCAACGAGCGGGCAGCAGTGACCTCTAAATCCAGGGAAAAGAACGCCGCGTTTCTTGTTGAAAAGTTTAAAATTGAAAAAGGAGGAAGTGTCTGAAATAGGATAATAAATATCTGAGGTTCTGCACCTTTATGCTACACCTACGCAGGCATTTTCAATTATTTGTCTTGATTAGACATCTTCTGAGGACCGTGTAGGAGTATTGCCGACATGCTGTGATAAACGATGGACCTGAAATCAGGTTTAGTACACGTTCTGTGGTATTTAATTCTTCTGAATATTTAGCCAAGGTTTGGGCCACCCTAACAAATTCTTAGTTTAGGTGTGACTTTGACCTGTACTGACCTCAGCAGTCACCATGATGGACTGAGCGCTCTCATCACTGCGTCTCTGCTGTAAGCTCTTAAAAGCCAGAGCCGTCGAGGAGAGCGCTGTGGCCACGTCTTCTGCTGCTCTAAGGTTGCATTGTGTGATTACTCTCTTCAAACGTGTTGGAGAGGCATCCTTTATAAGGTCAATGAGAAAAAGTTGATGGGAGCAGTTAGTAATTTACAGACAGCACAGATGCAGCCAGACAATGTGAGGATGAAAACTGTAGTCAGACACCGAGCTGGGCCAACGTGAGCAGGGCTGGTTTATAACAAACCCCCCACCATATTAACAAAAAGTCTGGTGCTGAAAGGGCAAATGTGCACATCATTCCCACTTTTTCCATATGCTGAGGGATACTGCAGGTATCTATTAAAGTCAAAGCAAAGCATCTGATACACAGCCACCTGTGGGCAACCAACACGACATCTGTAGGTTTTTGATCCAACTGGATTATTTTTGCACTCACGTTATATTTCTGAGTGTTGAGAGGGCTTTGAAACATGATTTTTGAGATAAAGTTAAAAGAAAAACTAAAATTTTAAATAGTGAGGAAATCTGAGAGTTAGTTGTTGTTTTTCTGCAGAGATAATTCAGCATTTCTAAAATCGTGCACACTGCAGCACACTGCTCCAGGTGTCAGTGGACGGATGCCGTGGAATGAAGCTCCATCTTCTCCACATCACGAAGTCTTTTGTCCTGGCAGGTGTTTCCAGATTTCTGTTTAGATGTGTACACACACGCCAGAATGATTGGCGGTTCTGTCTGTAAACCATTTAATCCCAAAACACACTCTGAAACCCCTGAGTGACGGTGTTTCTATCACAGTGCCAGTTTAAATCACTCTGTGGTATTCTTCATTAGACCAGCTCCTTTTTAGTGACATCAGGAAATCTACAGCACCTGCTCGGTCGCTCCGCTCCAGTCGAGCGGTGATGGTAACGATTTAAAACCTGCCCTAAAAATCAAACGTGAGCAACACGCCGGCTGCTTTGCAACAATACGCTCACCTCGCATCTGTCCGTCTGCACGCAAACATATTGAACCGCGCTCACTCAATTTGTTTTGAGATAGTGTGATGTGGCTGTGGCAGCTCAGGCCTGAACTTAAACTACCGACTGGGAGCCAGAATACATCACAGGCCCGCTCCTGCAATAACCAGACTGCTTACATGATTTCATGAGCCTGTCTCCCGGAACAAGTGGCTATATTTCTCATTTCCATCGCAGAGTGGGGAGTTTTAAGAGCTCCGGCTCCATCTGTGAGTGTCTCTTCTCCCAGGTCATTGGTATAAAATGGTTATTAGGTTACTAATGGTCCGTGTCTGATTGGAGCACATCTGCTTCTATGCAGATTCTCCTTAAAAATAAGTCCAGTACTGAAACTAACTTTTTGAGAGCTTAGTTTGATGCTGAGGTCAGTGTGTTAGTCCATCTCTAACTGGACTATCATTTGTGCACCAGACCTCTATGATGGTCCATCCTGGCTTTGGGTCAGTTTGGTTTTTCGGTGTGAAGTGGCAGACTTCCTCAGTTAGACCAGTCCATCACATGAAAGGTCTCCTAATGTCTGACTGGTGTCACTACGTTCACTGTGGCAGGACAGTCAGTATGTTGGTGATGGTCCATTTCTGATCCGTGCAGTCCTGAATTGCCAGCTGGAAACTGAACTCTGACTGTCGGCTCTCCACCAGCTCCAGACAGCGCTGCGACTCCATGTTTTGGATGGGACCCCCCTGGAGAGACAGAGACAAATGAGGTGAGGAATATCTCAGCATACAGGCAGGACGGGTGTGACGTTCTACTGGTGTTTTTGGACGAGCAGTAACCTCCATGGCTGAAGAGCAACGCGCACGAGTGTCAAAAACTGCAGTTGCTCTACTGGCCACTCAAGTCAATTCCTATAGATTCCAATGGTAAAAATGCACAATTTCAGCATTATAGCCTGGCTATTATAGACTATTGGCTATATATGGATATATCTATGTATGTAGACAGAGTGGCTTTAGCTCAGGAGGTAGAGCAGGTCATCTACTGATCGGAAGGTTGGTGGTTTGATACACCAACATACACATATATTAAGTGCACCATCCTCAAAAGCAGAGCAACAATCTCCATATTCATGGAGAAACAGGAAGCAACTTTTCAAATGAAACCGAGTCTCTGCAACGTTTACAACACGTCTGCCATAAAACGTATGAGGCAGTTTACAGCAGAGCTGTCAGGTATCTCAAGCATATTTTGACCTTGGCTTTGGACTTTTGCCGGTTTAAGACTGTAGCGTGAGAGTCCAGACTGACGCCTTATTAGAACCGTATTAGTTACCGAACACACCACACACAGATGGTCTGCAGTAGTATTTTGTGTATGTACGGTCAACTAATGTCCAGTAATATTTAAACATTTGGTGCTATGGTAATTATGCAATGAAGCCAATATTTCATTATTATAAATTCAGCCTCCACAGGTGATTGATGTTTATTACACAGTGAGTATTTTACCATTCAATTAACAGTTATTTAGATGTTTTGGCAATGCTGCTCCTGTGACATCTGTGCCAGTAAAGCTGACTGAAGGGAACTGACCTGAGAGAGGGGGACACAAAAAGCTTGTGTGTGTCTGTCTGTGTGCACGTCGCTTCACAACAATGTCATTTTCAATAAGAGGCTTGCTTCACTGTCTGAATGCACGCTGAGCTGCTGCCTCTCCATTCCTTGAACAATAAGCTGGCATCTAAAAGTAGGTCCTTAGTTATGTGGCAAACAACAGTAATATGTTTTAACGAGCCCGAGCGCAGTGAGAGCGGAGACTGAACCAGCGCTGCTTTGAAATCAATATGCTCTACACCTCCCAGCATTACATGCACAAGCACAAAGGAGCAGCCATCAGCCTGAGGACAGAGCTGACTGTACAGCAGTGCTTTCGTGTTCCTAAACACACCGCTAACCCTGCATGCTGTTCTCGAATGCCTGACTACATTAGAAACACAACAAAAAAGCGGACCTGTGCACGGCGCTAACACAGTGCTCTTCTCTCAGCTCTCAGCTCACTGAAAAGGTATCGATTCTCTCTGCTTGCTTTTCTCTGTGCACAGCTGCTCAGGCACAGAGCTGTTCACCCACAAAACCCAAGCTGCTGACACATAAGAGTGACCAAAGCATACATGCACATATATGACCTGTCATAAACATGCATTCATGCAGAGAGCGGGACAGAAACGTGGAGCTCCATCTGTCTCTGAGATTTGAACCTGACCTTACGCTGACCCCAGGCTGATCACCGTAGCTGGATGTGTCCCATTATACACTCGGAATACTCGAGGGCTTCTTATCGAAGCTCAAGGTAAGTATGTGCAATATTTTCACAGCCAAAAAGGAGAAAAAGTGTTCCAAAGCACACTTTCTAAGAGCACCTTTATGCAAGAAAGAATATAAAGAATAAACCTCTTTAACAAGAACTTTATTGTGTTCGCTAAGCCTGTTTATTATGCTTAAAGTGTGACTGCATTACTGCTTCTTTACTGACTAATGCTTTGTGTTTTGCATTTTCCTTCACCTGCACCCAGAGACGACACACATTCCTCGAAATCGACTAACGTGCTTTCTGAAGTCCTTCTGGGTTCCTGTTTGGTTTCTTGTGGTTATATTTAAAACACAAGGCCTGAAAGCTTAGTGAGTCCGTTTAAACCCTGGAGTTTCAGGGTCATGATAGACGAACTCACTTATTACCTTTTTAGTTTTTGGCATTATAATACATGCTGCAAACCTCACCTACCCCAGGGCAAAACTTAGATGTACAAGGGCCAACCACCAATGTGGAAAACAGTAGAAACCAAGGTTATTATAGTTAACTAAAACTGAACTAAAAAACTAAAACTAGGTGTGAAAATACATTTTATTTAATTACAACAGAAATAAAAACGATACTTTTGAACTAAAATTATTTCACAAATGTAAAAAAAAATGACCTAAAATAAAAAATGTGTTGTGAAAATATTCTTAGCTTTAGCGTCTGTTAGCTTGGTTAAAGTGGCTGTGAGACGAACATTTTCAAACAATAAAAACTGAACTGAAGTAAGAAAATTCACTCTGGAAACTAAATGATGCAAAAAAAGACGAGAAAACGAGAAACTACAAAACTATAATAACTGTGGTGTCAACATTTCTGATGCACAGCTGAGAAAAAACCTCTGATGCTCTTAAGAGAAAATGTTTTTGCACAGATTACTTCGAGCTAACCCTAAAACCGGCCACCAGAGTCTTATATCGCACTTGCTGATCTTGTATCAGATTTGAATTTTTTAAAAATATTTCTTCCCTTTACAGACCTGTAACTGAGGTCAGGTCTCGTGTCCTGCACTGTGAGCATTTTTTCCAGCTTTCCTTCCTGGATGTAAAAACCTTCTGTGTTTTTTGCCTTCATCTTTCTATATTCATGTTCTCATTGTTACTTGGCTGCAGTTTAAAGATTCAGATTTAGGACCTTTATCTGCTTCAGAGCTGCACTTGGATCCTTTTTTGTCCAAACTGATATATTTTCAAATTCATATTTAAGCAGAGGAGTTTTCTTTTGGAGGGCATGAAGGGTGCAATTTGACTCAGAGGCTGTAATAAAGGGCGACACAAATAGGAGCCTCGTTGGAGATTAAAAGGGACATCCTTCTGAAGTGTTACAACTTCCAAACCCAGGAGTAGATAATAGCTTCATCCAGGAAATACGCTACGAGCCATCCCTCATTTCTTTTCATTTTGCTTTAAAGAAGCCAGACTGACCACTTTCACAGGACAAAGCATAACAAAGGGCACTGAACTAAAGGGAGAAACAGAATTGTATCTCTACATAACAGACAAATTGGCAAAGAAACAATGAAATTTTATCTTTATCGCTGGTACTTTGTCTCTAGAAAGCTGTCAAAAGAAAAACATATTTGTTCCCATTTCTTCACTTGAATCTATGAAAAATGCCACAAATATTTCAGTTTGACAGAAATAAAAAAGTTTTCTTTTAAACAATAAGGCGATTTCCAAAGACTTATTAGCTGCAACCTTGGGATATCTCACACGGTGTGCAGAGTTTCCTCAAACTGTAGAAAAACAACAAGAGGAAGACAAACAGAGAAATGACAGACCTAAAAAACTCTACAACAGATGAAGAGCATCTGAAGGTCACGTTGTTAAGAAACAGGACCTGATAGAGAAACCGGGAGCTGATTCATCTACTGTTCACTGAAGCCTCATCAGGAATGGGCTCAGAGGAAGTGTGGCTCTCAAGATGCCATTTTTCAGACCTGAGGTGTGTCAAATTGTACAAGAAGATGAGATTGGCAGTCAAACACAACACTAGCTACATGGCAACACCATGATACCGTCGTCACCATTTGACAGGATCAATATTTGACAGCACAGTGTTGTTAGCGAAAAACCCAGCAAAACAAAACAAGTAAATTAGTGAAATTCAGTCAGAATCAAGTCTGAAGAAGATTGTTCTTTCAAGCTACAGTTTTATATTTGCTTGTATGGCCCTGTTCTGTCACCTTTCTACCTTTCCTACCGACCTTCTGGTTACAGATGAGCTTCCCAACCCCCTGAGCCACGGTCAGATGAGTTTTTAATAATAATGGTAACACATTTTCTCTCTATATAAGGAACGTCTTGATGCATTCTCAATCATCCAGGAAAGTAAATCTCCAAAAGTTGATTTTGTTCATCTGGACGTAGCGTTTTTGTGGGTAGAAACGTTTCGTCACTCATCCAAGTGACTTCTTCAGTCTCAGCTGACTGCAGGTAAACCTACACATACGGATCAGTATCTAAGGTTTGACTCTCATCATCCACTGGAGCACAAACTGGGTGTCATCAGGACGCTACAACACAGAGCGAACACCATCCCTACAGACACAGCGGCCAGGGGCAGAAGAACATCAAGAAGGCCCTGAGTAAATGTGGTTATCCCAGCTGGACTTTTGTCAAAGCTGGAAAGGCTCCTAAAGAAAGCTCCAGCTGATCCAGGAGAGAAGGACAACCGCTGCCCACCTGCAGTGATCCCATATGTGTCAGGAGTATCGGAGCAGTTGAGACGCATTTTTTCTAAACACCGGGTCTCTGTGGCTTTTAACCCCCAAAACACGCTGCGCCAAAAACTGGTCCACCCCAAGGATCGGGTCCCCCGACACAAACAGAGTAACATAGTGTACGCTGTTAAGTGCAGGAGGATTGACAGGATTTATACATCGGGGAAACCAAACAACCTCTGGCTAAGAGGATGGCACAACACAGAAGAGCCACCTCGTCAGGCCAGTGGACACTCTTTCAATGATGAGGATGTAACATCCTGGACAGGGAGGAACGCTGGTTTGAGCGCGGAGTCAAGGAGGCCATTTACGTGAAAAGGGAAAGACCAATCGAGGAGGGGGCCTAAGGGTACATCTGTCACTATCTTACAATGCTGTGATTGCAGCCATTCCCCAACTCTCTGTGAATGGGACTCATGGACATTGATCAGTGGTTGTTGATCAATGTTCATGAGAATTTGCATAATTAAGATTAAGGAACTGACCTCCCAGCCCATTGTCCCTTCAGTGGGCTGGTTTCAGTCATTATGCAAATGTACTGTTTATAAGATTGAAACCTGCAGTCAGCTGAGACTGAAGAAGTCACTTGGATGAGTGATGAAATGTTTCTCCCACAAAACGCTACGTCCAGATGAACAGAATCAACTTTTGGAGACATGTATAAGG